TCTCACTCTCACTCACACTCACACACACACACACACGCACTCTCACTCTCACACATGCTTCTGCACCACATACACATACTGTATACGCACTGCAGACGGAGTACGTGTGAACTTGGCACAACAAATCTAGTTCAACATCTGAGGCAACGCCACAAAGAGCTCTATGACCAATGCATGGCAAAAAAAAATCCCTGGACAGGAATTTTTTTTTTTCTGCCATATGTCTAATTCTAGAGACATTTTGTTACACCTTTACTTAGTGATTATTTTGCCTTATGTCTGTTCTAGAGACATGTTACAGCTTTTTAATAAAGCTCTAATTGGTTTTCTTTTGGAAATATGTTTCAAATTCACACTGAATGCATTAATGACTGTAAAGCATGTCTGTGTGTGTCAAAATCGTGATTAAAATTGAAATCGCAAAATTGATCAAAGAAATCGCGATAGGTTTTATTTGTCCATATCACACAGCCCTACTCCACATATACATATCTTTACACTATAAAATAAATGAACATATAGAGAAATAACAGAAATAAACGTATTACAATAACATCACAACATGTCATAATTTCCCTTGGACTCGTCAGCTTCCGGTTTCTTCGCATCAGTGCACCACAACTCTGGTACTATATAGCCAGGCCACTGGGTGGCGCTCAGGTTTGGCCGGCCAATGGAGGAAAAGCAATGCAAAAGACCAACTACACAGACACTGGCAAACACTGAACACAGGTAAGTATTTACGACACAAAACAAAACCAAAAGAAAACGAAGGACAACTACAAAATAAGCATGTATGTGTTATATGCAGCGTGGATTACTGTCAGGGGATGGAAATGGAGTGGATATGTTTGCATATATGAGAGACCAGTATGCTAATGGCATGCATGTAAACCCACATCGCCTCAGCAGGGAATTATGGAGGTGGAATGAGGTAAGATGTGGTGTGTATGTGTGTGTGTGTGTGTGTGTCTGTAAGTGCTGCACTAACCAAAAGGGACAGGTCACTTTGTTACATCACCTCCTCCCTCTCCAGGCCGTGAACTGATCGGGTACCGAGACAGGTAGTCGGCTATCTTGTTCTGGGGCCCAGGTCGATGTCAAATTTTGAATTGGTAGGGTTGCAGGGAGAGGTACCATCTGGTCACACGAGTGTTTTGATCCTTCATTGTGCGGATCCATGTCAGGGATCTGTGATCTGTTTCAAGGATAAACTCCCCAGCAGGTAGTACCTCAGGCTCTCCAATGCCAACTTGATTGCCAGACCTTCCTTCTCCACTGTGGAATATCGGGTCTCTCTTGGCAGCAACTTCCTGCTCAGGTACGCAATGGTCCTCTCTTCACCCGGATCTCTCTGGGCCAGGACTGCTCCAATTCCCACAGCAGAAGCATCTACCTGATTGACAAACTCCTTGTTTAAGTGTGGACTCTTGAGGAACTGGGCCCGAACACATCTTTTCCTTTAGGGTGTAAAGGCTGCTTCACACTCCTCAGTCCAGGTAATGGGGTCCTTGACACTTTTGCAGAGTAGGTTGGTCAATGGGACAGCAGTGGTAGAAAAGTTGGGGATAAAACATTGATACCATCCCACCAGCCCCATGAAAGACCTGACTTCTTTCTTCATTCTCCGTCTTGGACTGCGTCGAACAGCTTCTACTTTGTCTACTTGATGTCTCAGCTCCCCATTTCCTAGGAGGTATCCAAGGTAGTTGGTCTCAGATTTTGTCCACTCACATTTAGCCACATTTAAGGTCAGGCCAGCCTCTTGGATCTTGCACAGGGTCTTTTCAAGGTGCAGAAGATGGTCTTCCCAAGTTGCACTGTATATGATGACGTCATCCAGGAACAGTGTCTATAAAAAGTATTCATACCTCTTAATTTTTTTTCTTCACGTTTTGTTATGTTGCAACCTTATGTTTAAACTACTGTAAATAACTTTTTTTCCCACATCAATCTACACTCCATACACCATAATGACAAAGCAAAAAAAACAAAAAACAGGTTTGTAACAACTTTGCAAATTTATTAGAAATAGAAAACTGAAATGATTCCATTGCATAAGTATTCTGGGAC